CTCACAAAAGGCACGGCAGTACTAATACTGGCCAAGACATGGTTCCATGGTACACGTCGGCCGTCGGATATCACCTCGGACTCCGATACGGCTGGGCTCGTCTCTCTGACCAAGTCGTCAACTCGCTCGAGATAAGGGGTTTCCCGGGCCATGGGAGTACCTGCCATTGACCCATTCGTAGGGAAAAGATATAATACCCAAGTAGTGGTGCTGCTGTACGCTCATCGACGCCACTTGCAAAATTAAGAACGAGGAGGCGGGCAATGCTCCTAAGTCGTAGAGTCGCCTCCACCCTGCCGGCCCTGCCTGGCTCAGTTCATGAAGAAGAGGGACATTGGCCCCCGATGATTGATTGGGCCTTGCTATTGAATGTTCAAGGAACAATTCAAAAGCCTCACTCCTGGCCTGAGAGTTTCCATTCATCTAGATAGAAGGCGGAGGAATGCCGTCGAAGGCGGCAGCTGCACAACTGGCATCGCCGCAATTTACACAATCAAAGAGACTCCGCGTTAAGCAATCGCGAGCTTGCGTGAAAAAGGATAAACTGTACATTACATCTCTTCAATTAAATGGTCTAACAACATTCAGTGGTATGGGAAGGTTGCTTTCTCCACGTAAATCATGAACGCGCCTAGCATCACATCACCTTGCGCCGAGCGACAACACCTACCTAACATCACGATGCACCTACGACGGAGATTAGCTCACAAGTCTACCAGGTAGCCAGCCTTCAAATACAGAATCACCTTTCCGAAGCGAAAAAAGTACTCAAAGCTGCGGTCTCCCGTGAACACAACTAAAACAACACGCACCATCACTCGAGAAACAACACCCGTCGGTATCAGAAAAACAGCACCGTCCCCTCGTGGAGAAGCAACACCCGCCGCTCTCGCTGAAAAGACCAACCTGGCGCATCCATCAGCGCCGCCCACTTGTCCTCGTCGTCTCCTCTAACACTCATCGGCAGCATCTTTGCATACCCCGCGTCGCCAGCGCCGTTGATTCCCTGCACCCCGAGCCGCGGTGTGTGTTTATGTCCCCCTCTCTCCGACCACCTCGTCGCCTTCAAAACTGCTGCGTGCGCTCAACGCTCCATAATCCTGCTCGCCAAACTGATCGGCGGGTACTAGAGTGCGAGAGGAAGAAGGCGGCGTAATGTCGGTAGCGGTAGTGGCAAGCTTCGCGGATGCGGAGGTGGAGCCGATCGAAGACGGTCTCATACGGCGGAGGCGAGTCGAGTTGCCGGTGCTGTGCTACTCCTCGTCATCATCTTCCATGCGTAGAGATCGTCTGTCGCTGGACGTCACGCGGGTCTAAATCCGGGACATTTGTCGCAAATGTCTTTGACGGATCCATAATTCTCTATGGGCAGTACCTAGTCAAGACTCAATTGTAAGTTACTCTGGATTTGTACTTGTCGATTCAATTGCTTCGGATTGGTGCGCGGCCAGCTTCGGATGTGTCATGACCTGACCACTTTTTGGCGTGGAAATCGCGGGGAAATGGAGCCCGGCTCTCTGCTGTTCCAGCGCTCGCGTGCGTGCCAACGTGCCAACGTGCCAACGTGCGTGCGCCGTACGGGCTGGCGGGTTCCTTTCTTTTCGCTCGAGTCTGGAACTCTGGAGACGGGAACGTGGGAAACTGGAGACACAGCGAGATGAGATGCCGATGTGGAGATGTCCCGGGCTCGACTCCCAAAGTCCGTACGTAATGAGATGCCGGCAAAAGTGGTTTTGATCAAGTAATGGATGGAGTTCTTTTGCTGGAGTTCCCAAACTGACTTCCAAGCCGTGGATTCGCGGGGAAAGTGGCTTCCGGGGTAACTAAACGAACTTTGCGTCAATCTGTCTTTGTGCCGTTGCCGTGAAAAGCAACGTCTTCTCCTATCTTTCGATATCGTCGCTGGCAGGGCCATGAGGACTCCCAAGGCGTCGCAACCACCAGCCAGGCCACTTTGCCTAAACGGGGAGCCTGGAATGGGCAACTGCACCATTCAACGTGGCCTGCTGCGAGAAAGCGGCACGGGAGGGGAATCAGCCTCCAACATTGGCCCGTTGGGGCTTATTGGCGACTGGACGAAAATAGTGACGCAAATCACACCCATCTTTGCGCCCGATACTGACTGACGCTTGTCGATAGATAGAATCCGGACCCGATTTGATCCCAACGTGCCTCACCCTCATAGGTCGCCGATCATTGACGCAGACGCAGACGTTGCGGTGCTTGTCTCGGAGGATTGCCACACATCGACGCTGGCCGGAGTTGAGTGGCAACCATCACCCGGCTATCTCATCTCGGTGGCTCGGTCAAACTCGACTTTTAGGCCTCTCCTCACGGAAAGCATCGAAAATATCCTAGCCAAGACTAGGTCGGATGTGAATAGTCGATAACCAACGTCTTTCTGCGCCCTGTAGCCTCATAGGGCTTCGGAAAGCATGCTAGACAACTTGTCCGCCGGGGAGGGGGGGGGAAGGAAGTTGGAAGGGGGCCTGGCCTCTACTATCTAGTCACCCGCTCGGCGCGAGCGAGCATCGAGAGATAAGAAGCCGCCGCTATGCTACCAAGGCAAGGTCAGGAAGCGCATCGTCGGCCAAGCCGTCCTCCCTTCCCGCCGCCCTTCTGGCTGCGCTGCGGGCGTTCAGCCCTGGAAGAAACGAGCTTGCCAACCGGAAACCCTTCCTCCTCCAAGCCTAGAGTGTGTGCCTTATCAGTCTGCAGCAGCCCTTGGCCATGCTACGGCGATCAATCAAACGGCCCCAAGCCTTCGGGGGGAAACCTGGACTGGCAGCGGCATTCCTTCTTCGTCATCGGCCTCCCGCAGACGGCAGGCCGCAGACGTACGGATAGGTAGCAAGGGCTTCAGTGTCCAGGATCACGGTCGCCTCGCCTTCAGCTTCGATTTCAGAAGAGACTAGGCGATTGAGTTGATGTAATCTTGGCGCATGCGTAAAATGTCCGAAGCTGTCGCTTCTCAGCGCCTGTTTTTCAGCTGGCGATGCTAATGTTGGTGTGCGGCAACAACAATATCAACGACATATCAACGTCGACTGCTGGAGGTGAGGATTCCAAACAGGCAACAAGCATTACATAATCAGACCAAATAGAGTAGCTGCAGCCACAGACGTTGTTTGTTGTAAACTCAACCTCCGAATGCGAGTCCTCGAGATTTTACTCGCGACAACTCCGAGTCATTCGTTCTCGTCGGATGTCTATCAGTTCATGATAGGAACCAGCACGGATGAAGGGCGGCTGCTCTGCTGACAGTCGTCGACGCTGATTTCCGATATCAGCCAAACCCCGTAAGCCATGTGAGATTGTCCCGCCATCAGAGGAAGAATTCCCCAATTCGAAGCGGGTCGTCGAATCCGCTCGTTGCGACCTTCGGTCAGTCCGAATGCAGGAGACCCTCGTCTCGTCTTGTGTCCCACCCACCTGTCCGTAGAGCTACAATTAAACTGGAGTCTGGAGAGATAAGAAGCGAGAGCAGAGGCCAAACGTCAAACGCACGCCATTACGTACAAAATTCCTCTCGCGCACGAATGAGGGCCTCACTTGGCTTCCCCAGAGGATGCTAATCCATCACCGTGGATTGGATTGATGGTCCCGACACTGCCCACTCCCTCCACACCTCTTGTCGAGAGGAAGCGTGGGTCGTGACACGGCGGCGTGGATGGCTTCACCACGCATCAGGTGCAACGAGTGTCTTTGAGGAAGCCAGCGTGCCGCCAACTTCTACAAGACCAAGAAGACGTTGGTGGCATGTTTCTGGTAGCCCAGCGCCCCTCGGTCCTAACCGAGGAATTGAGTTCCCTACCACTGTCACCTTGTCACACCATCAAGCGCGCTCTAATCTTGGTCTTGTTCGCCAGGTTCAGGGGAGTGCGGTTACCGTGTGGCTGCAGCAGTCGGGATGGACCGTCGCCGCCTCGTCAAATCCGCCCATAGACTTTGCATGGCCAAAGAAGCGCTAATTTGTATCCGTAAGGTAGGTATCGACTGATGCAGCCAAGAAGGTATGGAAAGGAGCTAGTTGCCGCTTCGAGGCCTCTTGACACGGAGCAATCTCGAATACGGGGCGTCTGCGACTGCCGCGCTGCCATTGTGGGTAATTTCTCATCATTACTGCCTGTCTCCTGGGGCTGGGAATGTTATGGTCGCGTTGGCGCTGCAACCAGACGCGGACTATACTGCGAGTCCAATAGTTCGGCGAGATGTTCGGATGAGCTGTTCACATCATGTCGACCGCTAGAAAAGCTGCCTGCGCATCGACCGAGCGAAGGTGTTTCTTGAGATTTGTCCCTGTTGGAGTCCAGACGAATTCCAACGATCTCGAAAGGTGGCTACTTACACAGTGGGCAGGGTTGGCCCGTTGGGTAGGTAAAGCTGTGCGAGATCCGGATGTGCTGAGTCGTGTATTCGTTGGTCCATGTCGCCATGCCAGGACACACTTTGAATCCCAGTTCGGATAACGCCCATGGCGACCGTACGAATAGAAGGTTGCCTACGAATACAGTTGCGTGAGAAATTGGCGCTTGCGGCTTGATCCTAGGGAATCCCCTCTCCCCTCTCTCCCCCTGACCGACACCGCACGCGCACTCACCTGGGTCAGCACACGCTCCTGCTTGTTTCCCCGAGTTCACCCCAATTAAACTGGACCCGACTTGGGTTCCTCGAGCAAGGGTGCAAAGGTGGGCACGGCAGCCCAATGTTCGAACTGGATCCGCCTTTGTGTGGTACTTCTGGGTGGCTGGATGATGGATCCATGATCCTGCGGCGTAGATAAGCCTCCCGTTTCGAACTTCCACCTGTTTGATATCGGAGGTATAGATAACGAAGCAAATGACTTCATATGCTGACTTTGAGGGTGCGACTCGCAGGAGTCTCAGCCAGAATCACAATGCCCCTCAGATTAACAAATCGAGATGCAGCGAAGCGTGTGAGTGACATTATTGGAGGGAGGGCCCGATGGAAGGACGCTAGAAGGTCGAGTAGAAGGTCTTGATCTGGCTGGCTATGCACCCAGGGGCAGCGATGCTGGGATTTGCATGTCACCCGCCGCCCAAAGGATGCGACTTACTGCAGCATTGCAGAATGGTGGTCGCAGGGGATGATAGGGCTTCGCTAATGGCTAGAGACCGAGATGATCGATATTCAGAGTCAAGCAGGCACGACAGGATTATTGGAATTGGTGAAGCGGGGGTCGCAGACATGTGGTGCTGCCACCATCGATCGTCCTGCGTGAGACACCAGAAGTTCTGCCCCCCCCCCCCCCCCCCCCCCCTTTGCCGTCCACGGATGACCAGGTACTCGTGGTACTGTGAGGCTAGGGAAAGTAAGCACGTAAGTAACAAGGTAGGCAAGCAAAGCTGGCGCACTGATGGCTGGTTCGAAACGTGTCGGCCTATGGGATGAGCCGTGGGCACCATCAAACAGCTTATCGCATTGCCACCTGTCAGGTCGGTTGATGTTGGTTCCGAATGCGCCGCATCTCCATCGACAAGCAACATCACCAGACATTCTGTCATCAACCCTGTCATCGAAGAGAAGCGGCCATTGTCACCCACGCCTCTGTACCTGGGGAACTGGTAGGAACTCTGCCGGATGGGGTTTTTTCGTAGACATAACATGGTCTGGTCAACCATATTACATTATAAACAGCTGTCGCAACCGGCACAGCCGCGCGATAGGGCCTACGCCGGCGACGACGCGATGTTGTTGTGTACTGCAGGGAGGAATGGGAACACCGGGAGTTATCGACCAGGGGTGGGGGACCGATTTCGCCTGCTGCGTAAGGTAGTGATTCCCCTGTTGATTGCAGAAGAGAAAACTCTCCGTTCCAAGAGCCTGGCATCGAAACCAAACGCAGTGCTTGACAAGCCGTATGCCCTTGGGATCCCTCTTTCGTTTTGCTTGCGCAAAGAGTGGCTCAAGATGAATTTCTCGTTCAGAACGAAGCCATGACGTGATGTGTCGGTATCTGTAGTGAACGATTGGCACCATCACAAGCCATCACGCGGCAGGACTGCTAGTGTAGTTAGTACGCAAAAGTCGAGGCAGCGAGGTCAGACTTTGTGCCAGCCGCGGTCGTTGGCTCTGTTTGCTGCACGACGTCGGGGCTCTTCAGGGATGAGGGAAACCTGGGGCGGCCAAGATCAGCCCCCCCCCCTGGTCCACCCACACCACATGCATTCTCGGACCAGCAAGTTGTCTGGCCGGAGTCGAGTTCTTGGCAACGCAAGCTCTTGAAAGGGAAGTTAGGGAACAGCCAGTTTCCGTGGATGCCGTGCCGAGAAGTGTAGCAAAAGCCGCTGCAACCTTAGCAAGAGAAGCCTGCTTGGACATCATTGGTGTGGCTTGCTTGCAGGATTTTCTTCCCAATGAGCCTCCTCGACTTCGACGATTTCCAGTAAGATAAAGTGACGGAACAGCAGCAGCAGCGACTCTGGTGTAGTACCTACGCAGATTGCGATGCAGGCTAGCCTCCTGGCTTCGTCTCCAGTGTCGTGGACCTGGACCTCTGCGTGGGCCATCTCCCCTCATCGACCCGGGCCCAAAGATTCGTGGTCTCCACTTCACATATGACCCCCCGGGACCGAACCCAGTTCCACAGACAGGTTCGAGAGGTCGGACTGGATCCTAAGATAACGTTGAGGAGACAGCGCGCCATGGGCGAAAGGAGGGGCGGCCACTTTTTCGGAGCCATTTGCTAACGGCTTCAAGTGACAAGTTGCCCATTGGCCAACCAGCACAGCCCACGCTATCTGGGGGCTCTCAGACTTTCTCAAATCGCCCGGCTGGGGCGTACGCATATGTCTTGGTGCCACGCTGGAGAGCAAGGTGGACATACCATTGCTGTGGTTCTCGTTTCCCCCAGGTCACGGCCATTGGTGACTGGTCTCGTCCAAATCCATTTCGTTACTTTTGCGAATGCGACTGCTTTCCCTTTCTTCGGCCGAATATGGGTTTGTACCCGCGCCTGGGTTCCTCGTTAGTGCATCATGCACATCGGAAAGCTGTCCGCGGCCAGCCCGCCTAACTCACCAGGTACATCGTCCTCAGCTAGCTGCCCAGACAGTAGACTCGACGACGTGGAAGGTTTCGCCCGCTCCCGCCGGCCTGCCCTAGGAGTCTTAGGACTTGGTACGTATCGAAGCACGACCGAAAGCCAAATCGCCTCCATCCCTCCCCCCAAATCGTATGCGACAAGTAACGGGGGTTGATGCTAGGATGGCCTGCCACAACCTGTCCTTGCCAAGATCTGCGTCTCTCGCCCGTCGAGAGGGGGGCAAAGTTGGATAGACCAGCCTGATACTCTATCGGCCCTGGACTCTCATCTCTCCCTCCTTCTCTTGTGTGTAATTTTCCATCGTCAACCAAGTGCAGCCTATCGGCTTTCCGTGCATGGATCCGCTTGCCGCCCTTGACAAGAACCCTTAGTCCTTGCGCGTCGGTTCCTGTTCTCTCGATCGGCATTTCCTTCATAAACCTCCCCATTCCCCCGTCCGATCTGGTTTGTCTTGTTCGACAGACAGCCCTCCCTCTCCGTCATTTCTGTTCCTCACGGGTCCTTCTCCCGTAGCAATCCTTTGTAACAGACCCTACTGTCTGTATACCCCACAACGCCGTGAACACCATCACCATGGCTGCACCAGAAGAGGTCATCCCCACCAAGGTCGAGGCCGACGAGAAGGCCACCGGTGGCCTTCCTGGCTACGATACCGGTAGTGGACAGGAAATCCGAGGAGATATCAGCGAGGACAGCTGGGCAACACGCAATGGCCTAAACATGAAGTCCTTCACGAAGAAGGAATATGGTCACGGCATTGTCGAGCTCGACCGCGCCTTGAGCTCCCGTCATCTTCACATGATTGCCATTGGTGGTTCCATTGGTGCTGGTTTCTTCGTCGGTTCCGGCGGTGCTCTGAGCAAGGGTGTAAGTTCACTGTCTCCGTAATTGGGGGCGATTTCTGACGCAGAAGCAGGGTCCTGGATCGCTTTTCATCGATTTCTTTCTCGTGGGTATCATGATGTTCAACGTCGGTAAGTCTGAGAAACCCCTTGCTAGTCTCGCGCACAATGGAGAGCCTCTAACACGCTGCAGTGTACGCCCTGGGTGAACTCGCTGTTATGTATCCCGTCTCTGGTGGCTTCTACACGTACTCGACTCGCTTCATCGATCCTTCCTGGGGTTTCGCCATGGGCTGGAACTACGTCTTCCAGTGGGCTATCGTGCTACCACTTGAGCTGACTGTGTCTGGTCTTGTTGTCGCATACTGGAATGACACCGTCAGCGTCGCCGTCTGGATCACGCTTTTCCTCGTCGTCATTGTCGTCATCAACATTTTCGGATCTATTGGATACGCCGAGGAAGAGTTCTGGTCGTCGTGCCTCAAGCTCGCAGCCACTATTATCTTCATGATCATCTGCCTCGTCCTCGTCCTTGGTGGCGGACCGTCTAGCGGTAGATACAGCGAGTACCAGGGTGCGAAGACGTGGTATGACCCCGGCGCATTCCGTAACGGTTTCAAGGGATTCTGCTCCGTCTTCGTTACGGCCGCTTTCTCTTTCTCCGGTACTGAGCTGGTCGGTCTTGCTGCCGCTGAGGCCAAGAACCCCGTCAAGTCGCTTCCCGGTGCCATCAAGCAGGTGTTCTGGCGTATCTCGCTCTTCTACATCCTGGGCCTGTTCTTCGTCGGTCTGTTGATCCCATCCGACGACCCTGCGCTGCTCTCCGAGTCTGCCTACTCCGACGTCAAGGCCTCTCCGTTCGTGTTGGTCGGAAAGTACGCCGGGCTCGTTGGCTTCGACCACTTCATGAACGTGGTCATTCTCGTCTCTGTTGTGTCGATTGGTGTATCTGGTGTTTACGGTGGTTCGCGTACCCTCACTGCCCTGGCTCAACAGGGTTATGCGCCTAAGATCTTCACCTACATTGACAGATCTGGACGCCCGTTGCCTTCCGTGCTGGCTGTCATCATTTTCTCACCCTTGGCGTACATTAACCTCAGCGCTAGCGGCCCTGTTGTGTTTGACTGGCTGTTGGCTCTTTCCGGTTTGGCTGCGGTCTTCACCTGGGGATCCATTTGCCTGGCGCACATTCGCTTCCGCAAGGCGTGGGCCTACCACGGCCACACCGTCGATGAGATCCCTTTCAAGGCCATTGGTGGCGTTACCGGCTCCTGGATTGGACTTTTCCTCTGCTTCATCGTGCTTGCTGCTCAGGTATGTGAAGAGTCTTTTGACGACATGAGAGATTGCTTGCTAACAGTCATCCACAGTTCTACACTGCTATCGCTCCCCCTGGAACGAGCGAGCTCAACGACGCTGAAGGCTTCTTTAAGTCGTACCTCGCCCTTCCCGTCGTTATCCTTTTCTGGCTTGGCGGTTTCCTCTGGAAGCGCACTGGCTGGCTCCGTACCGCTCAGATGGATGTCGACACTGGCCGACGTGAGCTTGACTGGGACGAGATCCACGCATACCGCGCACACATCGCTTCGCTTCCCGCGTGGAGACGTGTTATGCACAAGGTGTGGTAAAAAGCTCTGTTGCCAAAAAAAGGAACTGCGTTTTGCCGCTTATTCATGTATATTTTAATCAATGTCCTGCGTTAAGGATGCCCGGAATGAGACCGCCATTCTGGTAATTGTTAGCAAAATGAAGATACCACAAGTGCTTTTACATCAAATTCGTCTCGCATGCATACCCCGGCTCGCAGTGAACAGTATCTGTTGGAGACGATGCCCTTACCTAGTGTAAAGAGGAACAACACAAAGGGGATCCATGTTGTGTCTCCCGACGCAGACTGCTCCACGGGGCGAGCTGGGTGGAAATTCTGAAGTCGTGGGTTATGGTGCCGTTATATGCTGCGCCGCCAACCAGGACGATGCCAATGGCCAGCGTGCGTCTTATCTCGGAGAGCAGCAGCCGTTCAGCGGTGGCCCATGCCAACAGCGGCGATAACTTAGACGAGTGTTGGTGAAGATAAGGGCGGCCGGCCCAGAACAGCAGGTGATGCCCGATTGTCGGACAGCGGTAACTTGAGATGGTTGGTCCGGACTGTTTGATATCTCTCGGCGTAGAGGGGTCATGGTCGACTAACAGCTTTTGTGAGGAAGTCCTAGCCGGATTCAGTGACTCAGCCCGAGATCCTGACAGGGCCGGAAGAACATCTAACAAGATTGGAATGCGGTATCGGACGGCGACATGGTGATTCTGAGGGTCTGTGAGGAATCTCGGGCTGATCAATAAGATAGATGTCGTCGCAGTGATGATGTTTGAATATTTCTGTCGGTCGTCGTTGGGCGGAGTCTAAGGTACCTGGGCTAATGGAAGGTCAGGTCGGCTACCAGTCGTGAAGTTGGACGGAGTATTCCCGGGCCGGAAAGAATGGAATGGACAGGAATGGAATAATTCCAGGTTTCCGAAGAAGGAAGGAACAATTGATTTAATGGAAGACGAGGAAAGAGCCTTCCACTAACTGGTCCATCGTGGCTTTCTGCCAAACGACCAAAACAAACTGCCGCTGGGGTTCCTTTAAACAACGCTCAATTGACGTGACAGGGTGACAAGAACGCCTTAGCAACCATATCTTACCTAGCGTTGACTGCATGTCATTCCGGCGCCCTTTTGACACATTTCTCCCCACAAACGCCCCGCTGAAGAACATGTTAGACCCCACGGTTGAGTCTCCCGAATTGCCCTTTCAGTAAGAGATGGTCACTTTTTCGCCTCGTCCTCTGCTTTCATCAGTTCACCATGAGTCGAAATTGCTTCTGGATTCTCACCCTGGCAATTTATAGATGAGAGTGTTATGCTTGAGCAGTGCCCTGATTACCAAGCACGCAAGCACCTACTAGCCCAGTCTTCTAAGAATGGCTTTCATTGCACTGCTGTCAACAGTTGTAATGGTATCACACCATGGAATAACCTTGGACAGGTTCATATTGTGAAATGTATATAAGTGGCCCGCCCTCGTTCATTCTCGAGGGATGTCCACCCCGGTGAAAACCCCATCTGTTTAGTGTAGGCAAGGCCGTCTCTACCTTGCTATGGCACACCTTACTCATATGAGTGAGATAGATGATTAGGTAGAATTCAGTACTGGCTGCAAGAAGATGATGAACACTCAACATGACTAGGATACGAGAAGAAGCCAAACTTACACAGCCAATTATAGGAATGTAACTTTGATGTGTGGATCACATTTGAAGAGCAAGTAAGACAAAGGTACCTCAGTAATACTCTTCGCAGGATGACAGACAGACCGACACATGTGGCTTGAACTCATACATATACGTGGCAGTCTTAAATGGTGTATCATATATAATGAAACTCATTCCATGGCAGCTGCACATTTCGGTAGGATACAAGCTCACCTCCAAATGAACCGCGGGCTTCAAAGACGGCACAGAGCCGGCCGGGACACGGCAGGTACCCCTTAGTGGAGCGCGGCGCTCGGCCATGTGGGTCCTTCAGCCGCAGTGCGCCCCCGAGTTTTGCGCAGCGGCGCACAACTCACCATGCCCATTTCCCCTTTCAAAGCTGAGCATCTCAATCTGACCAACTCCTCCATCTTCAACCTCCTGTTCTATCTCAATTTCGAATCTAATCCGTTCGATCCAACATCCAAATTTCGACCCAAGATCTTGGGGAATCGGCCTCAGCTTATCTCGTTGTACAGACAGGGCCTGTACGCGACGCGCAACAATGAGCCCCCCGCCCCCAAATAAGGGAAAGGCTCCCATCACCGAGGATGGAGACTTGTCCGACACCTCGTCTCATCCAAGCGATGCCGAGTACTTCGACGCCGAAGTAAACTCCTCTCGCCCTCAAGAAGAGGATAAAAAGCCGGAATCGTCTGTTCCTGCTCAGCCCTCGTCTCGAGGCTCTCTGCAGGTCAGCCAGAAGACGCAAGGCGAGAAATGTACCAAGCTTGACCGAGCTTCACCAGGTCTACGGCGAGGCAGCAGTTCACACTCAGCCGTATTCGATGCCCAATTCTCTCATTCGCAAACCAGCCAAAAATCTTCATCGCCTCTAGATTTGACAATGAAAAAGAAGAAAAGGAAGGCCACATCCACGGGCGCTGGTGGATTTGACGCATTTTGTGCCGCTGCATTGGGAGAAGACGCCCAAAATCTCCTATTGGCGGCAGACCATAAGGTTAAGTCCGAAAGCTCACAGAATGAAATCATGGTCCGGCTTGGGCAGGCCTCAGATGATTCGGCTCTCGAGAAGTCAAGTTTGAAGTCCGAAGGTGACACCGAGAGTAGCACATCCAATTCTGAGGATGGGCCAAATGAGAAGAATGAGGACCGCACTAAGAAGGTCCAAAGCCTTATGGTTGATAGGATCATGTCCTCATTTATGAGCTGGCTGGACACAAAGAAGAAAGTCAAGCAAGAGGAGGAGGAAGAGAATGAACCGCAAATCGAGGAAGCCTTGTTTGGAGCTCTCCCCGGCGGCGATGCTGCAGATGGTGCTCTCTTCGAGTCTGTTCCAACAATGCCGGCGAGTGTTTCTGCTAGCGTGCCGAGCTCTTCCAGAAATGAACTCGAAAGCTTCATGTATCGTCAGGTTCCGGCTCCCCGTGCTCCTGCGCCCGTTACTCGTCACCGGAACTCGAATATTGCTCTCCCACCGCCGCCACCGCGAACCCCATCGATAGAACCACCACTAGCAGGACCGCCTCCATTAGGAATTCCACCACCGCCAGTAGGAGGGTCACAATTATCTGCGACTTATGTGCCGAGTTATGATTCAATGGTAGATTTCGCGGGGACACCACCGCTAGCATCAGCTGCACCACCAGTAGTACCAGCACCCATGCCCCCACCGCAGGCACAATCACCATCAGGCTACACTTCTAGAGGGGCAAGCGAGTTCAAAGAAGCCACAAGTTCTCGCAGACGGGGACGCCCTCCCGCTTCAGCACCACGATCCTTTGTCTCGGCGGCGTCACCACCAAAAACCGGCGCACTGTTAAGAGCATCCGCATCTTCGTACGGGACAGTAGATGCGCAACAACCTCCAGCAGAGGAACAAGCGGATGGCGCCCGCAAAGTGGCTATGCACACAGGCAAAAGGGGGCGTAAGGCAAAGCCATCGATAAAGCACGGCAGGTCGGCAGGCAATCAGGCGCCGGATGAAGACGAAGACGAAGAGGGCGAGGAGAATCGGCTGCCCCGCGCGAAGCTTTCCAAAGTACAGGAAGACGTTGATGAAGGCGCAAAGCTTGCGTGTCCCTTCTTCAAGTACAACCCGAGGAAATATAAGACCCAACGACCGTGCTGCGGGCCAGGGTGGGACCACGTCCACCGTATCAAGTACGTTCATCCTCTCTCTATACATGAGCTCACTGCTGACGATTCACCAGGGAGCACATATACCGCAAGCACTCTCTTCCCAAATTCTCATGTCCACGCTGCTCCCAATCTTTTGAGACCCAATTGGCTCTGCAAGCCCACGCCCGCTCCCTGGACGCCTGTGACGTACGCGAACCGGAGATCTTGGATGGCATCACACAGGACCAGGAGAAGAAGCTTCGTTCCCGGAAGAAGACGTCGGCAAAGGAACTCACCGAAGGGGAGAAGTGGATCCAAGTCTACAGCATCGTCTTCCCCGACGTGAGAGAGCGGGAGATCCCGTCACCGTGTAAGCTTGTTTTCTTCCCCGAGGGGGGCAGGGATTGATGCTAACTTTCGCAGACCATAATGCGGAGGATGCCGACATGAATCTGGGCGGCTACGAAGACTACCTTCGACGCGAGCTCCCGCCACTGGTCCGCCGACAGCTCGAAAAAGAGGTTGAGCGTGAGCTAAGCTTTGTCGAGGAAGGCATGAAGCAAAAGGTCATTGATATCGCTCGGAACCTCCAGCTCACGCTCTTCAAGGGCTACCAACAGCTCGAGAATCAGGATCGAGGACTGCAAGACCCACCGAGTGTCGTTCCGTCCTCAAGCTCCGAGACGGGAGGGTCTTTCTTCACGGCGACGGACACTTCGCCGTCGACCATGACGACCAGCGGCACAACGCCGGAGATCCCGGATCCGTTGGACATATTTGGTGACCCTGTCATTCCGGACTTTGACTTTAACTTCCTTGCCGATATTCCCTTTCCCGAGTCACAGTCGTTTTCCGAGGGACAGACTCTGGACCTTGGGTTCGATCAGCCTTTTGATATCCAACAGCCAGCCACGTTCAAACCTGGGATGGAGATGCTCGGGGCACAGCAGCACGATCTGCCATACTACGGAGTAGATGGCTACCAAGATACAAATGGCCAGAGGATGGACGCGAGTGTTCCGAGTTATGTTCCATGAGTCGTTGAGCACGATGCTTCCTCTGCCACTCTCTTATCGTTTCTTCCTTCCGCCGATGTAGTACCCGAGATACCCAATCATTCCATCATCAATTCATCATTGACAACATACTTTGCCTTGGATTACGGGCGGTTAGCTCAGTATTGTTGTCCTGAAGCCGCCGCATTTGGCGTTAGGGCGTTTCGCTATAGACAAGGATCTGATATACTTCTCCATTGGCCCGGCACAACACAAGGCACGGGGTCCCGGGGTGTAAGCCCGGAGATAAGCGGGCAACCCAAAGACCGGGATCCAGCACGGGATTCCAGGAACTCTCGAATTAGGGTTATCTGCTTACGTTGACCGTATATTATGGAGCCATTGCACAGTGATGTGCCGTTCCCTTTCTTCCTGCTGTACGATCTGTTTTCGTCTCTTGCCAAGTTGCCCGGACCTACTGTTGATAGATGCTTACGTTGATTGCAGCTGAGCCGGCCGGCACTGAAAGTAGATCCAAGTCCATCACGCATTGCACGGCAGTGTATATAACGTCAACGACCATGAAGTACATCACAGGAGTTTTTCCTAAATCTTGTAAACGTTTCAAGCATCTCAAAAGTCAGCAAGATGGGTAGCGCATTGAGCAATATGTTCCCGCCAAAGGCTAGCTTCACTGAAGCAAATTTGCCTGATCAGAACAACAAGGTAACCTTCGTCCTATACACCCCCGCTAACACTGGTTCAAGACTGATAGACATAGGTGTTCATCGTCACAGGCAGCTCCGGCGGCCTAGGCAAGGAGCTCACCAAGATTCTCCACGAGAAGAATGCCAAGATTTACATGGCGTGCCGGTCTGAAGCCAAGACCGCAGCCGTCATCAAGGAGTTGAAGGAATTGTACCCCAACTCCAAAGGCCACGCCGAGTACCTGCACCTAGACCTCAACGACTTGACGACAATCAAGCAGTCCGCTCAAGAATTCCTCAGCAAGGAAACCCGTCTTGACGTCCTCTGGAACAACGCAGGCGTCATGACCCCGCCGCCGGGGTCCAAGACAGCCCAGGGCTACGAGCTCCAACTGGGCACCAACAATCTCGCCCCATTCCTTTTCACCCAGTTCCTACGGCCGGTGCTATCTGGCACCGCCAAGATGGCGCCCAGGGATTCGGTCCGTGTGGTCTGGGTATCTTCTAGCACGGCAGCTATGGCACCGAAGCCGCCAATCGATTTCAGCAACATGGATTATGCAAAGGACGAGAGTCAGATGCAGAAGTACTCGAGAAGTAAGGCCGGTAACGTCTTACATGGAACGGAGTTTGCGAGAAGAGTACCTGGAGAAGGGATCGTTAGCGTTGTAAGTTGGCGAACGCTTGTGAGCTTGCAGATGGATGCACGTACTTACAGCGTCGGCCAGAGTCTTGACCCCGGAGTTTTCATGCCGGATTTGCAGCGTACCATGCCGCTGTGGCAGTGGATCATCGTGGTGAGTGATGCATTGAAAGCCTGCCGTCTTTCCATCTCTGACCACATATTGATGCATTCACTAGAAATTCCTCGCGCACAAGCCGGTCAACGGTGCATACACCGAACTCTTTGCTGGCTTAAGCCCAACGATTACGGAGAAGAATAACGGTGGCTGGGGTAAGATGATCACCCGACTTTCCCAGGTTCTGTGTATAGTACTTACGAGAACTTCTAGTGGTCCCCTTTGGTCAACTTGCAGCTGGAAGAGAGGATCTCCGCGACAAGGAGCTGGGCAAGAAGTACTGGGGTGGACAGAGAAACAGCTCAAGCCCTATATCTCATGATGGATTTGCGCTGGTCTACCAAGATCTTCCATGTTCCTCTTTGTCTTTCCTGCGTTTCTCTTCCATGTATAATAAAACATGTCGAGAAGTTTGCGAGATCCGCTAAACAGGCGTAACAGAGCTTGTCATCCTCAATGTTCCCTACACACTAACAACCCCGTAAACTCCACCAAGCACTAGTCTGTATCATGCCGTCTTTATCATCTCTTATAACCAGATTCCACTTCTCCAAGAACCATGGCATCGCTTCCCAGCTGCGGCCATCCCACGGCACACCGTTTCCACGCCCATGCATGGATCCCATCGCGGAGCCCCAGCATCGAACGCCCCCACTCAGCATGTCGATGCAGAGGTCGTCCTCGTCTATCTGCGGTGAGGCCCCGGAAGCGAGTGTGATGGCGTTGGAGCGGAATGATGGCCATGGCATCAAGTCGAAGCAAGGATGATGAGGCCGGGCACGCTGGATAAAAGTCGGTCTCAAATCAGGGGTGATCTTTTGAAGAGCTGTATCATCGTCGCTCGAGTCGTTGTCTTGTTCGCTCAGGCGATTATTTGCAATGCTGTAGAATGGTGACTGCGCGTTCTCGTCCATCAGATACTCTGTCGTTATGCCGAGCTGAGCTGCGATTGCACGCATTGCCGATGCGTACGACATCGATCTCAAGCTGATGGCGTCTATCGGAGGTCTAGGATAGGTCGGCAGCACCCATCCGAGTGCAGGTCGTTCCTCTGGTGCCGTGAGATGAGCCAATATCCTGAGGCCGGCAATGACGACTTGCCTCATGTCGACGCCGCCGCATCTCGCTTTGACGGTTTCGATCCACTCACGCGATGAAAGCGACAATGCGCTCTCGTAAAGCCCGGGGTCCATAGAGTGCCCCATGACTATCAGTCCGTACTTAACAACGTCACGAATCGTAGAGTTCTCTCTCACCATGATGCTCCAACTTTTCCTGTTTTCATGAGCCGAGGGAGACTGCAACGCCTGGTAGATGTCCGATGCTGTGAGGTTGTATGAAGCAGTATACGCCTCCACATTTCTATTTGCCGTGTCGCCTGCTGCAGAGGGACACGGAGGGCAGATTGTAACCTCCTTAGCGCGGTCTTGTGAGGCTGCTTCTTGCGTTACCCACGCAGCGGCGACCATCTGCTCGAGATGCCGGACCTTGGTTTTCTGCCTTGCACCTGACGTAGAGTGAGGTACAACGCAACGTAGGAGAGCTACTGGATCAAGTACGGTATGCTCGCTGAGCGTCGGCATTCTGGCGCTTCCGGCGGTCCTTGGCATCGGGCATCTATCTTTCTACGAGGCATTGCGGCGTAATGGTTTCAACAGCTGGACCTGTAACCTCGACTAAATTGGGACCGTAGCTGATTGTATAGATCAAGAACAATAAAAATGAGTATCTCGAGAGATTGAAGTAATAAGAGGGTCTACGTCTTCTAGAAAGAATGCTGAATGAGTGGCTTGGGCAAATAGAGACCTTAAAGTCGAATGCATAGTAACAAAAGGTCTGGAGGTTGCGAGGGCAATTGCGTACTATTTGAGAACTGCTAGATTCTCGACAGATTTGCTACAAAAGTCGTAGCTCTCATCCAATCAACTACAAATTTCCCTGTCGGTTGTCCTCGCCAAGCTTCAGGATAGATGCAAGATTGTTTGCCTCAATGACTTCAAAAAGTTCCCCAAGGCCAGCAAGACGACGTTTCTCGCTCTCCCTGCGGAAGAACTCTTCCGCTGTCTTGATTCTCTTTGGGTGAATCTCATCCAAGAGTGCGTAGTCACGTTGAATGACTCCCTTGTTGCCTCCAGAGTTCGTCCACATTGTCCAGAAACCTGAGAAGTTGTCCCTAACAGACATAGTCGCTGGGTCCTTGGGATCGGCGTTGTATCCGGCAGGTTGACTTGAGATTGGAAAGTTGTCGAAGTAGACGTCCATGAGAGTGTCAATGTACTGAGCTGGCTTTCCCGTGGCCCTTTCAAACGCCTTTGCCAGGTCTGCGTAGTGGATATGGTCGATGGCTACCTCCAGGTCCATCCCGTCAGATCTTTCGGGGTGGTCAAAGAGCCAGCGGGCATAGTGCTCGCAATCATCGAGGGCAACATGCGGAACTGCGCCAGCACCGAGGGGAACTCTCCATGTGACAATCCCATTCTCGACCAGTGGCGTCATGATTGTCTTTGAGGAGATCGTCATCTCAATGTAAGGGCCGGTGGTGAAGATGGCGACACCCATGTCGTTGCCTTTTCTCTGCTGCAGCATCCACTCGGCTAGACGGCCCTTACCATCGTAGTGTCCGCATCGGAACTTTGGATCATAGCCGCTCTTCTTATAGCCGTAGTCAAGGTTTCCAAAGACGAAGAACTTGATCCCAAGCTCCACTGCCAACTCGTAGCAGCGAATCGTCCAGTAGGTCTCGGTCTTCTCGCCGCAGTTGAAGCCGTCGATGTTGACAAAAGCACCCCAGCACCCGGCGAATCCCTTGCGTAGGTCGCTTTCATTGGCGAAAGTTCCCTCGATGAATTCAACATCTCCAAGTTTTGCGAGTTCCTTCGCTCTCGCAGAGCTGGGGTCACGCGTCAAGACGCGCAGACTGTAGCCTCCATCCTTAGCAAGACCTCGACAGACGGGAAGGCCTTGGGCACCAGTGGCACCAATGACGAAGATGCGGCGGTTTGCCATATTGATGAGATATTCGATTGAGTTGAGACTAATAAGTTGCGTTTGCTGTGGTATTCCTTGCCAATCATAGCAGTTGTGGGATGCTCTTCTCCCTGCAAGGAGCCACGGCTTTCCTTATAAGCTCTTTCGCGAGAGATCCTTTCCTGCTTCCATCAATCGGATCTCACACGTAATTTTTCTTGTCGTTCATAAGCAGCTTGGTAAGCTTGGACTGACTATTGTTGATTAGTTATTCGATCAAAAGAAGATGATTAGTGATCCTTCTCGACTACCAACTAGGTCGGTGTTTTGCAACTCGACCAGACATCAGACAAAGCACGGGATGATATGCTTCAAAGGTACATTCAGCCTTCTCCCCGAAAATTGGTCAAGAACGTAACAAATAGAAGGCTGCTGATATTTCTTCTCCGATATTCTTGCCAAAACTGATACGCATCGATGACTGCATGTGCACTGCGATCCCACGCACATTGGTGAGAGAAGTAACTAGCTAGACTGGTTGTCAAGGGAAGTAGAAGCAGTCATATAATACTTCTGATTAGATGGTTCAGTAGAGGTCAAGTGTCTCGCGGAATATAATAGAGAGTCCGCTAGGAAAACAACCTCAGAACTATCTCGGCTAAGGATTCGCTTTGAGGAGCGTGTCAGACATGTGATGCACAAAACGCTTGATCAGTAATTGGCAGTGGCTATGATCTCCAGCTTACCAATCTTTGAAAACTCAGCCATCGTACCTCTTGAGAAAGCTGGATCAGACGATCGGCTTCATAGGCGCTGCAGCCGGCGGGAGTAGCAGATTTCTTCATCAACTTTGTCCGCTGTGGTAGTTATTCTAAGCCGAGGGAACTCAGCGAATCAAGTCACAGGAGAAGGACATCGCCTCGTAGAGTTGTCACATAGCCTTATCTCATGTTGCATGTCTACTATGAACAGGTCGAGCTTCAACGCGCTTGAGATATGACATTGCTGTTCTCGAGGTGAAGTATTTTAGGCAGCAAACCTACACAGGCATCATGTAGAAAGCAGCCGACACCCTAGATCAAGTCCTCTTGAAGCACTCGATTATGCCATGCGGGTTGCTAGGAGATGTCCAGAACTTGACTCTTCCCAGCCCGGCCCTGGCGAGGACATCTTTCCACACCTCTCTCGATCGTTCCTTGCCGCCGACACTCAGCATAAGAAGATCTATGGCGGCCGTATGAGCCGAAGGCGGGTTTGGCGTGATCTGTTCCGCGATCAACACACGACTATCCTGTGCCATGGAGCTTGCGATACAAGCCAGGATCTCCACCACCAAGTCGTCACTGTAATTGTGAAGACAGTAACGGATGTAGTACACAACTGCTCCTAGTTCACGTTAGTCATCGTTCTATATAGGTTGGAGAGACTACCGGCAAACCTTTGACTGGTTGCTCCTTGTGAAAGTCAATTGCCATCAACTTGGTACCACCAAGCGAGGCAATTGAATCCTGAGATTCGGCGATCTCACCAATGACTGTGTCAAGGTCTTGCAGAACACATCGATTCGATGGAATGCCATAGTTGTCGCATATGACAGACATGGCATGACCGGAACCACCTCCTACATCGACAAAAAGGGGCCTATCCGCGGGCCCTGAATGCGCGGCATCTGAGATCCAGGAGAAGTCGTAGACGCCACATACCGGAAGAAGCAGTCCCATTGCCTTCATTGAACGTAGAAAGATTCTCTTATCCTCAGGATTCTGGAGAGATACCTCCCAAACGTTCTTCTCTGGCTGGCCATACGCAAAGGTGTATGGAACATGGGTTCGGCCTCGTGGTTCTTGGAGCCCGTAGGCATCAAAGTACTTCTCGAACTGTGCGTATGACACCATGCCATGTACGAAGCTAACAGGTCAGTCGCTTGCAAGCAGACGCGTTGATGACTGGCGTACTTACACGATTCTGGTGAGATCTCCATCTGGGTTGTCATTGATGAACATCTTGGATTTCTCGGTATGAGCCACAGCATCCTCACTGACTTGCTTCAGGATGCCCGTAGAGTTCAACATCCACGCGAGGCGAACTGAGATAGAAAAGTCAACAATGTTCCATGTACCTGAGTCTAGAGATGGTCCTACCCAGAAGCTGAAGCTCACATCCAACACTGCTAGCCAATTCCTTGTACGAGATGGATCCATCTACTGGGATCTTTTGGAAGACTCCCCAGGCATTGAAGAGCTGCTTTGCGGTCATTTCGCCGACCTTGATACAATCATTCATAGCCCTCTCCCGTGGAGTGTCCTCGAGCCTGTCGATAATGGCTTGCGCTCGTTGGATGATGCCGGACTTGAAATCACGCTCATTCCTGGGACTCAGGTCGCTGGCCGGGTCGTATGTATCCACGTCATTGAGTAGATCCTGGGCGAGCTTTCTGAGTCCCAAAGGGGCTTCGGCCGCGATTTCTCCCATATTGGCGAAGGAGTCTAATGGTCTACGATCAATGAAGTCGATGGTTCCAAGTCTTGTCAGGACTTTCGGGATGAGTTTTACAATGTCAAGAGGCTGCGTGCTCGTGAACCGCTGTATTTGTAGCTGGGAAGAGTGGAAGGCTTGGTGTTCGTGAGGACTGACAAGCAAACATCTCAACCCAACGTCGCCAACGAAGGATCCGTTGGAACAGGGATGCAGATTGCGACAAACAAATACAGACAAACTGCATGAACTTGCTGCAGACGATGCCAATCTCGCAGGGGTGATCACTCGCAACCTGGTAATCGTCATTCATTTTCCCAAGTTAAAGGCCAATGATTCATGGTTCCATAGCGGTTGAGATTCCACGTAGGCCAATTCACTTAGACTGGGTTAATAGGTGTAGCCTCAAAATGTGAAAGCGATTCTATATGATGTGCGCGCCTCAGCTGCTGTACTCTGCAGTCGCCAATTTGAATCATTCATCAATGAGACCAACGGCTGCCAAGTCGTCTATATCCCTACTAGCACATATACAGCGCATTCCGACGGGCGCGGAAGTAACCCGCCTGTCATAGTGACGAGGAGCGGCGGAACAGAGCTGCAAAATCTCCAAGCTTTAAGAATCATGAATGCTCCTGAGAGCAAACGTGCATGCATCCTTTCTTCGGCAGTAAAGTATTCCATCAGCATGAACCGGAGTCGCACTCCAAGCGCCCAACCAGCCCGGGACTGAGATGCCTGGCCTTGATCCGGGATTCCGGAGCAATCTAGAGCACCGATGAGCTTCGCGATGCGCCCAACCATGAAGCAACGGCACCATCACCTAAGAGCAGGCATCGTCACGAGTTACTGCTGAAATGCAAACCTTCGCATCCTGGTTCATCGTATCAAGTACTGACAAATAACAATCTCACGGCTTAGCCAGCACCCCAGACTTGACCAACGACTCCAAAAACACCTTAATCGCCTCAACAGCAACCGACGCAAGATTTCCAGCCCCCTCATACGACGGATCAAACGAAGCAACCGTAAGAGAAACTGGCTCGGCCTTCCCTGAGATCTCCCCAAAACACCCGATAATATCCTCTCTCAACAGCCCACCCGGCGCAGCAAACCGATTCGCGTGTCCGATGGACGCATCCAAAGAATCAACATCAAAATGAACCATCGTAGAGCCAAGCTTCTTCCGCTGCAGCACGACCCCAAGCTCATCCCCAAAATCAACCTTCTTCTCTGTGCTGCCCCAGATCACATCGAACCCGGCCTCTGCCACCCTGGCCCGCTCCAAGTCATTCACATCCCTCATACCAACATGCACCAACCGCTCCAAATCCATCGGCTGATGTCCCGGAACAGTCCCCAATAGACCCTCCCAACACTGCCCTGCGAGCATGGCAATCGGCATCGAGTCAAAGTATCCGCTCATAACGGTGTCGGGTGTATTAAGATCATCATGCGCATCAAACCACACACATCCCAATCCACCCTCACCAACCTCTTGCGATGCGTGAAGTCCGGCAGCGACGCCAACAGCAGAACTGCAATTCCCTGCAAGAATAATCGGGAACGAGCCCCTGCGGCGTTCTTGCGCAACTAGCTTTGCAGTTTCGTCTGATGACCTCGAAGCTGCGCCCGATTTCGCCTTCGTGGTCGTCTACCGGCTCGACTTCGATTTCATGGAGGGGAAGACCGAGGGAGCGGGGAGCGGAGAGCGGAGAGAGGAGAGCGGAGTCGAGGCCGGAGGTTTTGAGGAATGCTGGGCCGGCGCCGGGACCTTTGTTGCGGAGGCCGACGTGGTATGGGGAGAGGATGAGGGAGAGGGATCTGAGAGGGAGTTTTGACATGATGAATGAATGGTATAGGGAATGAAGAGAAGTGATTCAAGAGATGATTGCGGCGGAAGATAACGTGGTCATTTAAGCGGTTGTTCACGGAGTACTCCGTTCATTCCGTTGATGATGTGGAGATGGGTGGTCGATGTGTCAACTCAAGGGCGCGATGACGCGCCTGTCAACGTTTTGACCGGCGCGGAAAACTTCCTAGTTCATCCAAGGTTTTGTGAGGATACAATCATCCAGTGTCACAGTTGTGCGAAGTCAAGCAATGAAGAAGGCTGCATCTTGAGACTCATTGTATCAAACATTACTCAGTAGATTGAATTTCTTGGATATCTTTTCATGCCACTCCATCAATCTGCTCGCTATGAACAAAGGAAACCTCCCGAGGTATACCATTCCAGCCTCTCAGGGCATTAAGAAACAACACTTTTCGTACAACTCACATGTCCACTCGATGATGTCCCGAAGACTTGGACCCGGCAACACTGACAGGACTCACAAGGCTGATCCTGCTCAACACGCTCCCCGCCTTTCTCCGTATCCTGCTCTCCCGGACCGGCGTCGGGGCGGTCGACACGCTCAAGGGACTAACCACATCGCCGTCCTCATTCTCATTCTCCGCAACCTCGCGGTTCTCATCGCCCTCTTCATCCGTTCGACTGCTCCCAGTCGTCATGCTCTCCATACTGCTCCCATCATGCTGAACAGCGAGACTCAATCTCGGCCTCCTCGGGCCCTCCAGCTCGACAGGCGACGCTGGCCTCCTCACGCGGACGCTGCCTACTGCGCTGACGGCGCCCTCGGCGATAGAGTCCATGGGCGGCAGCGGCTGCGCGGTCGGGTTGCGATAAGCCTCCCCCGAGCTGGATGAGCTGGCGCTCGTGCTGCTCAGCCCGCTCTGGTGAGATGCCTTTTCGCGAATCACTGTTGTGCTAAGTCGCTTCAACCCGCGACTCCATGCGGGATGCGACTTGGGTGAGAGGACCTCGGCAATGGTCCTTCTCTTGGCGTCACGCATCTTGCGGGCTACAAGCTCGAATTGCTCGGCCATTGTCGGGTGCGCCATGATCTCTTCCATCGAGATGGTTAGGTTGTGAGTCCCGGGAAGGCCCAACTTGGGCAGTTCCTGAGTAAGAGACTCGGCGAGTTGGGCTGCAGGCATCATGCTGCCCCAAAGATCGTAGAACGCTGCGTTGGGGAGTTGTGTTTCCGGAACACCGAGTGACCGAGGATCCAGAACCTTTGTCCAAACCTTGGAGATGCCTAGCTGCACGGCCTTGCGGTGGTCTTCAGACATGGAAGAGCCGGCATTAGTTGGCTTTGTCTCCATGTCCAGCTGAGGCAAGGGGATCTGCGGCGGAACGGCGCAGTAGTCGGCCGAGGAGGGAATGAGCGGGTGAAGCATGGAAACCGAGGTGAGAAGCTCGATGCTGGAGCAGAGCGCTTTGAGCGTCTCATTGGCAAACAAGCTCGGGATGCGGTTCTCACAGAAGGTAATGGAGATGTCTCCGCTGCTCGCATCTTCCTGCGTAGAAATGACGTGCAGATCGTAGACGTCCCTGCTGATGGGTTCTTGAACGCTAAACTTGCATTTGATTGTGCCGAGGTTGAAGCCTGCTGCTTCCTTGGCGGCGTCCTGATGGCGGTGCTCGACGACTGTGCTGAAGCGTGTCCAGTACGGGAGCTTGGTGCACTTCTCGACGATCTCGAGCCAGCCCATGTTCTCGAACGGAATGCTCATGACACGCTGGCCATGGACATACTTGAGAAGCTCGAGAGGGCTGCTCAAAGTCTCTGCAAATCGCACGCGGACTGGTATGGCGTTTGATACTGGGCCAAGGGTGCCGGAAACATCGGACCCATCGGACAGCCTGAGGTGTCTTCCCTCGACGATCTCACCAAAGAGAACATCGCCTGAGCCAGAAAGGTTAGCCAGGACCATGGCCCAAGCTGACTTGACGACGGTGTCAAACGAGATGCCCAAGTTGGCCAAGGACATGACCGAGACCTTCTGGGTGATCACCTTGACGTTGGTGCTCATGGGAGGTGGCCTGCTGTGGGCAACGACCTGGGTCATCTTGGCACCATCCAGCATGGTTGACCAGTGATCCTGTGCGCCAGTGGCATGGGCCAATTGCGCAGAGCGGACGAAGTCAAAGTAGGTGGCCCTTCGCGGCGGACAGGAAGGTGCAATATAGATGCTCTTCAAGTGCTGCAGCAAGAGCGAGATGGAGGCGTCGTCGTACTGCGCCCCAGAAAGTCGCAAGACAAGATTGGACTGCTTTCCAGCGTCGACGAAGAAGAACTTGGTCATAGGAACCTCCAGGTGGAAGGAGCCAGTCTGATCCCTCTTGATCAACTTCTCCGTCATCGCCGATACCCTCCATGTTGGAACTTCGATCTTTTTGAACTCTGGGACGAAAGACTTGAATGCGACCTGGTAGACCCGCCTCTCGTGGGAGACAAAGGCAGTCCGCAGGATTGGGTGGATCTTGGCGAGGCAGATGCAGACGGCCTCGAGCTTCTTTGTCTGCACTGCACCGGTGAAGCTGAAGGTGAAGTAAGTGAGGCTTGAACTTCCTTTGAGGAGGCCGGTCTCAAGGAACTTGAGTTGAGTAGCAGAGGCTTCTGCGACATCGTTGATGGCATCTCGTTCGATGTTCAGCTTCGGAGCAATTACATCGTTGATGAATTGTTCCTCGAAAAGCATCTCCGAGGAGGATCCCGGGGACGGGGCGGCGGTTCTTTCTGGTTCCGCAGTCTCGAGAGCGTAGTCTGAGCTCAGTGTTACACCTTGGCAAAGCTCTGTGAGGGTAGCGCCACGCAGAACGTCCGGCAGAGCAATAATGAGCCCTTGCTTGCGGCATGCGACGACAAGTTGGCCTGCGAGGAAGCTCTGGCCGCCCAGCATGGGGAAGCTCTGGTTTCCTCGAATGCCTGATGCCTCTGCTCCCAGGAGAGTCGCCCAAATTGATCTCATACGTTCTTCAACCTGGGTCAGCGGGAGAGGCTTGATGCCAACCGCGCGGACTTCATCGGGCGATGCGACTGAGGAGAGAGCCTGTAGCTGCTCTTGTGACAGCCAGCCAACCATCTTCTGGAGCTTGCGGCGGTTGACCTTCAACGACGGCGTGACGGGAAGGTGCCTGACGGGAACGAAGATGGTGGGCATCATGTGAGATGGCAGACTAGTCCCCAACGAGGACTCAACGAGTTTCTTCGCAATGTAGGTGCGCTCTTTGGTGGTGATTGTGATCCTCGTAAGATCCTCCGATCCTTCAAACAGCTTCTCTCCAAGCTCGACAAATGCGGCAAGGGATGGTTGCGCATCGCGGCTGATGATGGATTCAACGGCGAGATCAACGCCTTGACCTAGACATCGGCGGAGCTTCTGCTCAACTTCAGCAACTGGAATGACTTGACCATTGATTTCAACGTCATCGCGGCCACTGGAGACGAAGTCAAGCAGACCATCCTCCATGTACCGGACACGATGGCCAGTTTTAAAGTAGCGTGTCCGAGGTTTTCCATCCTCGAGCGATACGTCGGAGTCCTGGGGTAGATGTGCCAAGGGCTGGCCGGGGACGAACCGATGCGCCAGGGTGGGACTCTCAATGATGAGCTCGCCAATAGCCCCGATAGGCATCAGCCTACGGTGATCTTCGGGGTTGACAATCCAGAACCTCCCAAGGAATGGAGGCGCGACTCGGGTGAGATCTGCAGCTTTCTTGACTTCCAAGACGGAGACACCGAGAGGGCAAATATCAGGAGCGCCGTAGGCGAGCAGGACTTTCGTCTTGGCTACCCAGGGCGCGCAGGTGTCTTCGTCCAGACGTCGGGTTCTGAAGCAGATGGTCCTCAGGCTGGGGATCGCAGCAGGTGAGATCTTCCGTGCCAGGACCGGTGTCATGTAGGACCAGTTGACGTCCATCCTTCGAGCTGCACCGACAATGTCGCTGGTTCTCTCAACAGAAGAAGGTACACAAACACAACCACCATGCACCAAAGTCGAGAGTAACTCGATCAAGGCGGTATCGACATTAAAAGACGACAGCTGCATGACACGACTCTCTTGGTTGAGATTGAGAGCGCGTCCCTGTGTGACAAATGCTGAAGAAAGAGCTGCGTGGTGGAAGATGATTCCCTTTGCCTCTCTGCCTCGGGATGAGCCTGGCGATAGAAGAATGCAGGCGGCGTCATTTGGCGCGGCCATGGGCAAGGGCGCCTCCAGTGAGAAGTCAACCTCAAAAAGGGTATCATCCACGACCACGACTCCATCGACAATGGCCTCCAAATTCTTCCAGAGCATGTCCGTTGCGATGACGACCTTGGGCGAGAGCTGGCGGATGAATGTCTCAACGTTGGCTCGATCCTCGGCGTCGATGGGCACGAAGCAGCCACCGGCCTTCAACACAGCCAGTATACTGATGACTGCCCACTTGTTCTTGTCGAGAATGACGGGCACAGAAACGCCGGGACGAACACCCCATTGAGTGAGGTATGTGGCCAGACGGGAAACGAGGCGGCCAACCTGCCTGTACGAGAGCTCGCCGTCCCAGGCACAGATAGCCTGAGCATCTGGACGAAGTCGTGCTTGTTGGGAAATCAGGGCGTGGACGCATCCAGGCAAAGGCTCGGTCGTATTCTCAGCTCCCCAATCCCGGATCAACAGTTGAGCATAGTCTCTATCAGTGAAGAGGTCGATACCGCTGAGGGCACCTTCCGGGCTTCCAAGTATGGCGATAACAGCACGCCCAAAGGTGTTCGTCAGGTTCTGAGCTTGGGAGGGAGTCATGAGCCTGTGAGACACACCCGTGACAAGCTGTCCATTGACAAGAGTCAATGAAAATGTGACGTCAAAGTCGGGAGTGTTGAAAGCCTGAATGCAGGAGAGCCTCATGGGGGGACGCGTAGAGCTGAAGCGGCTCTTGAGCTCGTGAGGCTCTTCTTGGTAGGACAGACACGTGTTGAAGAGCTGGTCGCTCTTGAGGCCCAACGCGTGCTGAATCTCTGACATCGGTACGTACTGGTGCCGGCTGCAAGCGGCAGAGTCATCTTCGACGGATTTGAGGACCGTTGCAACGGATTTGTGGTTCTCAAGTCCAATTGTACATGCCGTGGTGTTCTCGAAGGCGCCGACTGAGAGAATCAAGCCTTCGGGGGCGTCTCCCGCATCTCGCCCTGATGAGCGGTAGCCAAAGCAAACTTGACTTGAGCCGGTGAAGGCGCGCAGGACAAGTGCCCAAGCCATGCGCATCATGGTCGATCGACTGATGCCTTGTGATCGACAGAACTCATCGATCTGAGCCACCGGTAATTCAATGTGGAAGTTTGTGTGTTGCATAGTGTTGTTATTTACTGTCATGAGGCGCGGGAA